ATGAGATACTTAATGAGCTTCCAGAGCAGCCTATAAGCGAGACATTTTATTGGCAGATAATTTTATGAAAAGCTTTAACCTGACAGTCTGCATTTACAAGAGTAAAATAAAATCCCAATTAAGATCAATGTAATACTGCCACAGCATGCATTGTCATTTAAAAAGTCTAATGATTTGAAGCAAACGATTAAAGTTAAAACAATTTCCAAAATGCCGACATGCGGAGAAATGTCCTCTCCTCTTGTCCTTTGACATGCAGCCTCCATACATTTAGACGGGATGAATGCCTGTTTTCTTCAGGCTGTTATCTCCATGCGCTTCATCCGACCTGCATTAAACCAACGTTCCGGCTCACTCTAATCTTGTTTTTTTCCCCCTCTTTAGCTGTTTATCATGATTTACATTTGGCCTTTCGGTGTCTAAATCTCATTTCCTTCAGCCTGAGCCTTACAGTTCGGTCATGACCACAAATTCCCATTACAATCCGTTTGTGTTTCACTCCTTTTATTTCCATTTAAGAAAAAGGAGTGATGCGTGGATGTTGAAAACTTTGGATAGTTTTGTAGCCATTTTAGAAGAGCTGCATTTAATACTGTATTTACCTGTTGGGTGACAGAAGAAAGCAATTGTTTGTATTTAAGGCCTCAGAATGAAGATGACTGAATGTGGAAAAGCTGAAGGAGTGTGAATACTTCTGTAAGGAACAGTCTCTTTTGATTCATAGAAATATGATTTATTGATATTGATTACCACAATTTGACTTAGAAGACTTAAACTGAGGCAGCTACAGGCTAAATTTTATTAGATGCTTTCTATATTTTTTTCTATAAATTAATCTATTATTTCTTAAGCAAAGTTTTTAATAAATGTTGGCATCTAAGCATTGAAATATTTGAAGGCGACAGGTTCAGTCTTTGTTCTTTTTTTTTTTTTTTTACCCCAGTCATTCACTCAGTAGTGCTGTGAAGATAAAAGAAATAACTTTTTTTCCCTTTTCTGTCCCTGACCTTACTCCTGATTTTAAAAGGTGGGGAAACTGACTGCTTCTCCTCTCAGCGCAGCGGCGGCGTGTAGAGCTCTTGTTATTTTCCACTATTGTTTGTTCCTCTCGTGGACAGGAGTGCGCACGCTCTCGCAACATACGCAGACAATGTTGCTCCCGCGAATAGCTCAAGTGGGATTTTAATTGGCTTCGCACAGAGGTTCCATTCGGTCCAATTATGCATTATTCACAACCATTTTTGATCTGCTCTTTGCTCGTTTTGAATATGTGTAAGAGAGGAACATTCTTTGGCAGGAAGAAAGATACCGAGTGTTGATTTGATCTCTGTTTGCAGCCGAGATCCGGTACGGTGACCCTGGTTTGGCTCTGAGCTTCATCTTTGTGAAAACCTGCAAATCCGAAGGTCTTTTTACACCACGGGGTTCACAGTTTTTCACTTTATCATTCTTGATTTGCATTACCTTTTTCTACAAACTCTCGGAGAGATGAAAATGTTTACGTGGACGCTGGTTATCTTCATAAAATTGTTAGTTTTCCTGATGGCTAATGCCCTAATTAGCCAACACTACTGCAGACCAGAAGCTCTGTCATGTCAGGTAACGACGTTAGGATGTGAGAGATAAGAGAGGAGAACAAGCAGGAGGTTTCTGCTTCCAGCTCTCAGTGGAAAGCTGTGGGTCAGAGTATTAAGCAGGAGAAATGCACAGTTTGTGGCCTGTAACAGGCTAGGCTCCCATCAGAAAGCATTCCCAAAGATCCTAAGTAGACCTGAGAGGTCATGAGGTCAGCAACAAATAGAGATGCTTTAGAAAAGGCATTTTAACACCTGAAATTAGATGTAGTTTTAGATACTGGTGATATGGCTTCCTGCCCAGAGCGGCCTTCCAGTTGAGGGCAACCTGTTTGACCAAACATAATAAAAACTGGCAGCCTGAATTACTGTTTTGAATTTCTGCCACCCCTCTAGTCTAAGGGGGATACACATCTCCATGTCGACTAGGTGGATAGGCAGTTGCTCAGACCAAAAGAATAACTCCCTCTTATATATACTATTTATTTGTTTCCAATAAATATACTATTGGAATACATTGTCTACTCTATATAAGAGCAGACAGCTACTCTTATATATATATACTATTTATTTGTTTTCAATAATCAGACAGCACCAGGCTAGATTTATATATATATATATATATATATATATATATATATATATATATATACACACACACACACACACACACACCAGATTGCTGATGTATGATTTCTTAAGAATGTAGAATGTTTTAAATACTCTAAACATTGAAATCTATGAAGGTGACAGTTTCAGTCTCTTTTCAACCCGGTAATGTTGAGAAGATAAAGTAAATAACTTTCCTTTTACATCTTATGTAAAAGAAGAAAAAAAAAAAGATCATTATTCTTGCATCCCTACTAAAATAGTGTAGGGACCAATAAGAAAACTTGGGCCGCTGTGATACCTGATTTTATTATTTATGATGCTGTTATGGTCATCAATAACTGCTATTTCTGTCAGGCTTGCAGCCAATCTACTTGTTGGATTTCTGTCATGGTTTAATTAGCAGTGTATTTCAAAAGTAAAATATGACATCATAGTACAATGTTTGTTTATGCCAAAGCCTGGGTAAGGAAGGCTGGCCCTGACAGTGGTGTCAAACTCCAGCCCTCAAGGGCCGCTGTCCTGCAGTTTTTAGATTTGCCACAGGTACAAAACACTGGAATGAAAGGGCTTAATTGCCTCCTTCTTGTGTAGATCAGTTCTCCAGCGCCTTGCTAATGACCTAATTATTCTATTCAGGTGTGGTGCAGCAGAGGCGCATCTTAAAGTTGCAGGGCAGTGACCCTTCAGGACTGGAGTTCGACACCAGAACCACTACAGTGATGTTGAAAAGCACAGCATGACGATGACGGAAAAAGTTTATTTTCTCCTCCTTTTTCTGTTGTGACCATACTAGTAGAATTAAATACGTCATTTTATAAAATCATTGATACTTTTTTTGTTGTTGTTGTTGTTTTAAACGTAAAAAATTCTACAGGAAATTTGATGTTTGTTTATTTTTTTTATTTTTATTTTTATTTTTTAATCATTTTAAAACTAAAAACCCCCAACAAGAAAGATCCGAGATAGAGTGAAGACGTCTTACCTGACAAACATAATAATCCCAACTTTGGCAATATCGTCTCGAATAACTTTCCAGGAATCCTTGATCATCTGAACCTGCTCCTCGCTGAGATGCGCAGCAGCTGCGGCGGCTGCAGCCTCCTCTCTGTCCCTCTGTGAAAACTCCGTCTTTGTTGCCAGACCTGAAATCGCGCACCCCATTCTTCATCTAAAACAACGGAGATGATGGCGACTTTTTGTTATTATTCACGGTCCCAGATGATGGACATAGAACCGAGAGGTTAAACTGTTCAGCGAGGCATCTGGTTTTTGAGTGCGTGTCTTGAACTGTCTCCCCTCTTTTAGAAAAAACAAAAAACATCACTCATCAAGTCAGAAATTACAGTTGGGGAGGCTGGTTCTGGTTGTTGCTTTCACAATAAGATAAACACCTAGCAAGTGAGCCCATAATTCAGAAAGAGCTTTTATTTTGCAGAATGGTGCTTCGTATTTCCGGTTTTAGCTAGGGCATTTACTGCTACATTTACACTGATTTTCAAACCAAGTATGATTTAATTCGGGGTGAACTGAACTGAGCCGCAAATATGGCCTCAGTATAATAACATAACAGAAGATTATCACGCAAACTACACCGACTGTTAAGGAAGTGGGTGTTCTTCTTTGATTCACCCAAGGATTGCAAATAGAGGCTTAAATAAGTAAACACTTTTATTTGAATAACTGAGCAATTTACAAAGGAATCTTGTGCATTTTGTTGCCATGAACCAACTTTTAGCACAATTCTGGCTGTATGTTTGACGACTATTCTCACTTAAGCGTCTGTAAATTGGATAGTTTATTGGGATACATCAATCTTTTTAAAATTTCCAAAGTGTATTTCATCCCACCGTTTTTGCTTTTGGTCGAAAGGTTGCATCTAAACACTTCATTTTGGATTTCTACCATAAAAAGGCGTAATACAAACATGACAAGCTGAACATGTAAAGACTTTTTCCTCTGCTGACAATGTTTCCCAACCCATCTGTCTACAGTTTGTAATTTACCAATCACTGGTCCTGGGAAATTGGATGGCATGATTTTTATTTATTTTTTTGGCATCCCTCATTTTCTTTACAGTATACCATAAATTCGGTGTAGCTAGAGTTCAGTGATACTGTGACCAGTAAACTAACCAGTGAAAAGCATCTGCAGCACTTCTTTCTTGGCATGAAACCTTGACGCTTCTCACTTTCGACCCAAGCCTAGCTCATTAGCTTTATTCCTCTGTTGTTGCCATAATTCTGCAAGTCTCCCTTGTTCTTAAAAATAAACACCAGAGCACTTTTCTTTCATTCCTCAGACATCTCATCACTCAAGATCTTCCCAGATAACCCCAGTCAACATCTGCCACCTCTCCTAGAAATTTCCGTACCTCGAAGGGTGTGTCACCAGGACCAGCTGCCTTTTCTCTGTCCATCTTCTTTAAAGCTTGCCCCACTTCATCATTAATCTCAGCTACTTTATGATCCACGACAGTCACCTCTGCTCTACATTCTTCTCATTCGTCAACTCTTCAAAGTACTCTTCCATCCCACACTTGGCACCTGTCAGTACATTTCCATCCCTTAATCACCGTGATCTGCTGCACATCCTTTCCATCTCCATCTCCCTGCCTCACCAACCTGGACAAGTCACTCTCTGTCCTTATCGTCCACAAGGAATCACTGGCTTGTAACTGCTTCTGGTTGCATTAGAAATAAGTGTCTATTAAAATAGAATAAAAAAAATAGGTTCTTGAATTGCTGATACAATTCTGTGGGTCAGCCCTACGCAGAAGATTCCATCTTTTATTGACAAAAAAAAAACAACACAGTATTGCAGCCTTAGCATTTCTGTTTTTATTGAAAATATGGGCAGCTGTACATAACCAAAAACAGGTTTCTGAGTATCTGGAATTTACACATGGTCAAAACTATCCCAATATACAGACATATAAATAACTTTCATGAAAATAAACATGTTGCTGATAAAAAAAAAAATTATAAAGCTCCAGTGATGTGCACAACTGTTTTAACAAGCAGCTCAGGAAAACGTGGAAGCATATTTTGCTGTCCCTGTGCATCAAAGCACAACAAAGACTAAAATCTAACCGTCTTTGGTGTCTGAAGTAAGACTTTACTGGCAATCGAGCGCTATTAGCTGTCGCTCTCAGAAACTCTGCACTGATAGTTTGCAGAGTTAATATTAATGACTATAGCAGCCAACAGTAGGCAACATATCTTTTTTTTTTTGATACAGGAAACTATATATCCATTTATATGTTCACACAAAACTGTAACGTGTAAACAAACACAGTTAAAATGTGCATCTTACTGTTTTAAAGGTGGCATGCCCATACCATCCCTTTAATGTTACACTGGTGCTAAAATTATTGCACCTTGTCCCCTGTACAAGAAACCTCATGCACGGAGTTTTTGAGGGAGAAACATGCAGAGCAAACATAGAAAGCATCGTCTAACTCCCAGGTTTATGTTGAATATACACAGTGCACACTGTTTAGCTTGTACTTAAGCTCTGGAACTTCTCCCGTAAACTCCTCACAAGGTTGCTTTCCGAGGACTTCCCAGAAGTCAGTGACTTTGTGCTGTTGCGAACTTCCTGGAGGAGCCCATCCTCACCTTGGATTCTGTGGCACGGTAAACGAGTCCGCGAAGGTTCTTGAAGGTTCTGAACTTCGTGCAGAGGGACAGAGCCCAGCATGTGGTCTAAGGAGCTCCACCTGCACAGCAGGGAGCGCTTCTTTTGCTGAGGCCAGTCCTCTACCTGGAGACACTTCTTACAGCAGTCTGTCGGAGCTGCATGGAGGTCTGACGAGCTTCTGTACTTTACCCCATCTGGTCCTGTGCAGACGCAGTGTGTTCTTAGAGAGTGCGAGGTGTCCGTGTATTTTGAACGCAGCTCCTGGACGTGAGGCCAGTGGAAAGCCTCAGACTGAGGGCTGTGTGGGGCCGTGCCCTGGGAGCTTGCGGGAGAAGACAGTGTCTGGTCCAAATTTGGAGAACAAACTTCGCGAATGACTTCCTGTTCACAAACATTCATGGTCAACCTTAAGTTAGGCTTACCTGCATGAAAACAGAGACAAAAACACAAGGAGTTTACATCAGTTTTCTGTTTAAGAAACAACTAGAGGCAGATTCATACAGAACTGTGAAAAAATTATAATCAATCATTCTTGAATTTTCTTTACATTTTGTCACAAAAGCCACTCTTTCCCATTTCACCAGAATGCCTCAGTTTGTTGGAGCATATCAGTAATTAAACATCATGAGGCACCCATAAGAAGTCTCATTTCCAGTTTGTAACATATAGGAGACACAGCAAACAAATGTTCAGATCAGACCAAAATTGCTCTATTTGGCCTACATGTGTGGTGGAAAACCCTCAAGAGCAAATCCCGATGCAAAAACATGGAAGAGGTAGTTTCATGCTGTGGGAATGCTTTTTTCCCCCACAGGGGCAATGAAAAAGGTGTTAGAAAAATGGATGTAGCAAAAGCACAAGTCAAATGTTCACCTTTCCCAAAAAGAACGTTGGTAAACATTCATTTAGAGCTACAATAGAATGGCTTAGATCACAGCAGATTCATGTGAAGGAATGGTCCAGTCAAAGTCCAGACTCAAATTCTATTGGGAATTTGTGGCAGGCCTTTAAAATGAATGTCAACGGCTTATCTTGACCCAGACTGATCTGAAATTATTTCACAAAGAAAAATGAAAAAATAATTCAGTCCGCAACGATGTGAGAAGTGGTTCTGCAAAATTTAAATGCACGACACACTTTTCAGGTGTTTGCAAAAAAAAAAATAAAGCTGTGATAAATATGTGATGACATTTGAAGTTTGTGGTTGTGATGTGAAAGAATGTGAGGAAGTTCAAGATGCACTCTAAAAGTGTTGATTGGCAATGTTCTGCTTACCAGTTTTTCTCAGCTTCTCCTGGTGGACAGCAGCTGCACTCCGGAGACCCTCCTGGTGTGCAGCCTGTCGGCTCCTCTGCCACACTACTGGCCGATTGTTTTTAATGCGCTGGCTGTACTGACGAGCCAGCTGGAACACCTTGTTTCTCATCTTCCCCATGTCGTGCAGGATCTGGTCTTCGTCTATGGTGGTTTGGAAGCTGATGCTCTTGGGTAAATGGCTGGGGTGGCAGCTGTCGTTCTCTTGAAATGCTGGGGACGAACACGGCTCTGAGAGCTGAGCAGAACCCTGCTCCGCTGTGGAGGAACCGGCCGTAGGCGAAGACACGGAGCAAGAGTCTGCAGCAGAGCACATTTCAGGCTCTTCTTCTATCACTGGTGGTTGATTACTGTTTTTGACCTCCATAGTATCCAAGCTGATCTCAACTCTTTGGGTGTCAACTTTCTCATCTGCCTCCTGCTTCACTTCCTGAATCTCCTCCTCAGTTTCCATAACTTCCCAAACCTTCAGCATTTCAGACGAAGGCCTGAACTCTTCCTCTGCAGTAAATGATTCCGTGACGCTATTAGACCGAACCTTGACCTCAGCTGAGCTTTGAGGTTCACTCGTCTTACCCTTTTCTAACCCAGGAAGGTCGAACACGGACCAAGAAGTGGGTCTGTTTCTACAGAGCCCTTTCCTATAGGCTGGACCGGCCTTCTCCTTTGGAACGTCATTCAGCTGTCGGCTCAGCTGTCTCACCAGGCCGTCGGGGATGAAGGACAAACTCTCCCTGCGCTTGAGGCTGAAGTTAGCGTCTTGGTGCTCAGCATGCTCATAGTATTGCCTGATTTTATGGATGAGAATTTGATCCTTTTTGGAGAGAGTGGACCTGCGTTCTCCTTCACTCGGTCCAGGCTCAGGACCCGACAGGTCGGCCTTTGAGGAGGTGTGTGGTTCTGGTGAAGAGCTGTCCGACATTTTCTCCATCCGTTTCTCCACGTCCATACAGGCCGAGAGGCTTTGAAAGGGATCTTTATCTAAACTCAAGTCCTCAGAAACCAGACTGCTCCGTCGTGACAAACTGCTGATGAATTGCTCAGCGGTCAATTGGTCCAACACGGAGGAAGGCAAACTGCTCTTATTATCTGAAAGCACCTCCTCTTCCTCCTCAGAGAGGTCACCGTTCGTTAGTACACTCATCTCCTCCACCTGTAGACCAGAAGAGTCGCTCTCTCCCTCTTCTTCTCCTGCTGTTTCCCTGGAAGTATCCAAGGATTCTGGGGTCTCAGTTTGTTGCTCGGAGGAAAACATGGTAGACTTGTGGCAGTGGAAGTTCTCCACCTCCAGCTGGTTGATTGGTTCTGCTTGTGGGACACGGTCTAGACGACACGGCTCCTGTGCATAAAAAAATAACAGTATTATCTAACGGAAAAATGCACATTTTAATGACAAGCACTGTTCATTCCTCATTAACTTAATAATTCATTTTAAAATCAGTTTAATTCATAGCATCCACATCTTTGCTGCATTTATTTTATAGTAATAGACTTCCTGTTTTTTTTTTTTTTTTAATCCAATGACCTTTTTGTCATAATATAATCACAGAGTTCAATGCAGGGAATACAAAGAAGAACATGACTGATGCTTTTTCTAACAAATAAAAATATATGAACATTGTGTCATGCATTTGCCTTCGACCCCTTTACCGATACCTCAAAATAAAATTAAGCACAATCAAATGCCTCCTGAAGGTCCAGTAGAAAGGCATTCTAAAAAATACTTGCAGCTGCAACTGCAGTGAAAGGGAATTTTGTGAAGCATTGCTTCAGCATGGCTGACTATACATCCACACTTCTTATCAAAAAATGTTTGAAACTTTCTGTTATGTTGCTTCTACTTCACTTATTCACTACTTTATTTTGGTCTATAACATAAAATCTCGCTAAAATACATTTGCGGTTGTAAAGAAACGAAACATTAACATATTCAAGGTGTATGAATACTTTTACAAGGCACTGACTGTGGGTAAGATTTGCAATTAAAAACTTGCATTGGCAATGCAGTCTGCTTCTTTTGGCTCTTCCTGGACAGTTTAAATAATCCTTGACTAGTTAGGCTGAGCCTCATCCGGTCTTCAGCCTGCTGATGTTACCCTAGACTGCTGCTATTCTAACGCTGTGTCCAGGTGTTGCCTGCTCATCTGGAGTGCCTGCAAATTGCAAATTACAAAAATAAATAAAAAAAGAAAGCGCAGCTCGGAGCTGTTTGCCATAGATAAGGTTCACTCAGCTCAGATGCAGAAGCTGCAGAAGTGGGGGTGGGGGGGGGGGCCGCTTCCCATGTGGTGCTTTAATTTCCAGCACAATAAATCTACAGCATGTAGAGATGATTCAAACTGTGCTCACGGCAAAGGGCATCTATTTGGTAGGAATTCAGTTTTTAAATCTAATGTAACATTGAATCAACCAGAATGTATGCAAAGAAATAATGAAAATAGAGAAAGAGTTTGAAAACGGGCCCCCAGCAACAACTTGGGGGTGGGGGGAAGAGAGTTGAGGGGGGATTCTTTAGTAGAGTGAATATGTATCACATGTGGCCTCAGATGTGTGTGTGGAAATGAGGTTAAAAGGATGCAGGCATAAATGTGATATTGGGCTTTTGTGAGCACCTGAGCGCTGAGAGTTTGTTTCACAGACACATTGTCGGTGTTTTCCTCCCCTGTGCAGGTTTCAGCCTCCTCTATCAGTGCAGCTTTTAGTTCAGCAGCGTCCTCATTCTGATCATCCTGAAAGGGAACAAAGCACAGCATTATGCCAAAAGTCTTTTTAGTCAACGTCAGCAAGTTTGCAAGCTTTATAACTCCATCTAAGATCTCAAGGAGTGAATGCCAAACAATTTCTTACAAGTTCAGCCGTAATTGGTCCAAAAGTTCGAAGAGGAAAATTTAAGTTAGGCTTGATCATCTTGGGTTGAATCAATGTATACAAGCAAAAATGTACAGATCTCATTTTGCAGATTGCTTTTGATAGAATATGAAACTGATTTCTAAATATTAATAGTACATAAACGATATCATAAAATTGCAAAATCTGAAACAAAAGGAAAGTCTCATTTAGACAATGTTTATTCATTCCTATTCAGAATCAATACAACTAGCAATTAATCTAAAAAAAGAAAAATCAGAGGGAAAATATTCATTGATATGATTATCAAAGAGAAAGCTCCCCGACTATTCTAATTATGTTTAATCAGATGGCTACATTAACCTTTGAAGTCAAACAACATTTAGCAGAGCACATTAGGATATTCGTTGTCATGCAAATGCAAACATGGTCTTAACAACATAAGTCATGCACCCATAAATAGTTATTAAACACAGCAGCAACAACTCAGATGAGATACACATGCAGTACAAATGTGAAAAGGAAATTGGATGCAAACTGGGATGATTTTAACTCCGAAAGAACAAAAGCAAAAACATGCATGACGTTTTTCTGAACACCCCTCATCTACACTGAAGCATTCAGAACGGACAATGTGAGTATTGAGTCAATTTGGATTATAGGGAAGAAAAGAAAAGAGGGATGGAGAACGAGAGCCAGTGTGGGAGACAAGAGTGGTGCGTTAGTTTTGGTGAGCCGTTGGGACGGAACGGAAAGCGGGAAACCCGTGGGTGGCAGAAACCCTCACCGTTGTGAAGTGAGTAGAAAGCAAAGCCCTGGCTCTATAGTGCCAGCAGGAGATGGCTGCCAGCACCGAGCTGGCAAAGTCGGCTACCTGGTCGTCTCCCATCAGCACATCGTCCTTGCAACTCTCCCCTTCCTCCTCCTCCTGCTCCTCCTCCTCCTCTATTGCCTTCTCCTGCTCCAGCCCCACCTCTCTTTCTCTGGGTGAAGAGTCACTGTCAGCTGCATTTAGCTGCTCCAGAGAGTTGCTCAGATCCTCCACACACGGCCTCTCACCCCGGGGCTCGCCTAGACAGGAGGTCAGTGTGCTGACACTAGCAGCTGGCTGCAGGGAGCTCCTATCCCCCAGCAGTGTGCCTTCACTGTCTGCATGCTGTAGTGTGAAGTCATAGACATGTGTTTTGTTATTGCAAGGCTTGTGATAAAGCCATCTTATGACTGCAAGGCTGTAAATAGCAAGATGTGCTGTCTATCAGCAGCGGGTGTGATGCTGTGTGATTTCTGCAGGCTAAGAAAAGAAAGTGTGCTCTGGAAGGATTGGATTTTTCATTTGCAGTTAAGAACATTTTTCCAGCAACAAAACTATTTCTGCTAAAATTCCATATTTGTGATGTAAAAAAAAAAAAAAAAAAAAAAAAAAAAAAAAATCAGATTATTAAAAGAAATTAACATGTTTAACATGACAAACTCAACTGACAACACACAAAACTGAAGAAAATGTGATTTTAAAAAGCAGCAATAAACTTGTTGCTTAAATATGCACAGCTTTGTTTCATTCACCATTTTGATGCAGTTCAAAATTGTTATCCAGTAAACATCAATTACAGCGAATCTGATTAACCTAAAATGAAATTCTGTTGCCCTGGCAGGATTTTTCCATACATCTGCATCCTTTAGAGACGGAAACAAAGTCTGTGGATAGATTGCAGATGGATTACATTTCATCTCCCATCAGGATTAAGTAAAAGAAAAACCCACAGTATCTTTACATTATGGATGATCTCAATAAATTGTTGAAAAGAAAAGATGGAAACCGGCCAGGGAGGCAAACAAGAGGCAGGAAGCAGCGCTGATGGAGCTGCAGGACTGTTTGGCTGTACAGATAATAAACAAGGGTTCCCCAGAGCTTGATGCCGTTTCACTGCAAGTGAAACATTCTCCTGCAAGGTTTCAAAGGATTTTAGTGAGATCTGGAAGCTTTCTGTGGTCCAGGTAGAAGACAATTTTCTTAAATTTTTTTTTAATTTACAGTGTGGTTGTTGGGATCTCCAGTCTTACTGAGTCGTTTCAGTTTCATCTAATTTAGAGAAACAAATTGTTGATCACCATCTTCACTCTGCACTGGTGTGCATCGATTGCTGTGGATGTTTATGCATCCTTCTCCAGACTCATACCTTTTAAATAAGATGCTTTGGAGCAGACTTGCCTTAAGAGTGTGAATATAACTAATGTCACTCTTGGACAGATCTTTTTTTTTCTTTCTTTTTTGTCAATTTATCTGACTTGCTATAGGTAGAAGACTGATGAAGACTGAATGGTAAACCTGAATTAAAAGTGCTTCAACTTGGTGCTACTTTGCAGTTGTGCATACTTCTGCAGCAAGATTAGTGCATCCTTTTAATATTTTTTAAGAATTTTCTCCCTTTTTACAGGTGTTTCAATTAAATACTATAGGATACATGTGAGATTGAAAGTAGAACAAGTTTTGAAACAAAACTTTTTCTAGGTTGCATTTGTTTATATTTCAAAAAGCCTTGTACTTTAACAGGGCATGTTCACTTTTTATATCAACTGTAGGAGTTAAGGTTGAGTAACCTCAGCAAAGTGCATTGTTACTTATTGAAATAGTTTTCCAAGACTTACTAAAAAAATCCAGTTGTTTGGATTACCTTAACTTACCTTCAAAACAGCTGCAGAGTGAACAAAGATTGAGGCGAAGCCACCGAGAGAGAAAACAAACAAGAATGTCAATAACAGTCAGATATCATGTTCAGTAACATCCTGAATTTCAAATGCATTTAGGGGTAAGGAGACAATCTCTGCTTCCACATCCAGGCAGCTGTTAGTCTGCCTCAGACTCAAGGGAGATCCTGTGATTAGGTAAATGCCAATAAGTAGCGTCTTGCTCTCCAAGGCTTTAACTGGACATGATGCAATTTGTCAGGAAGTGATGAACCACTCCCTTACTCAGATGAGAAGGTTTGACATGAAAGTGGCTTGTTCATTACATCGTCTGGAGAAATTGAGCGAGAGAGAGAGAGAGAGAGACCGGGTAACAGGAATACAGATGTTCTCTGCTCTAATGACCAATCAATGAAACAGGAAGACACAGATCTGACGGGCGGGGCCCAGATAGAGCACCGAACAGAGCTTTGGAGTGACAAAAGGCCTCGACCGAAGCAGCATATAATTAACTTCATTATGGGTGAGGTGGAGTGGGAGTGAGTATGCGTGCCCATTGAACTGTTGTCCAGGTGTCTTTGAAGGAGAACAAAGCAGAAGTTCAATGGAGACGTGAACAGCAGCTCTTATCCAACAAAATGACCTTGGTGGCAGAGAGCTGATGTATAACTGGACTGCAGCCACAATGCAATTCAAACTAAAGCAGTGTTTGTGAATATGGCTGCCAAAATCCTAGTGAACGTTTACAGAAATGAAAGAAAAACACAAAAATGTACCCACCGTTGGTGCTCTTTATGATTTCTTTAATTGGTTCTGAAAGAATAAATAAATGCATTTGCACATTAAAAAAAAAGTTTCCATATTATCATTGCACAGTTATTTTTTCTGTGTGATGTACTGGATAGACAGCGGACATAAATATACCAGATCTTCTCCTCCCATTCCGTACTCCGCGATGGAAGCTATCACTCTGGAAGCACTCTGCTTTCATCCTCCTCTCCGGACTACGCTGACACTTCCCAGAATCTGAGAAACGGAAGGAGACGTCATTACACTCATAGCTGCAATTACAAAAAGCAATTTTCTACACATGGATGAGCTGGTTATAAGCCAAGACATCTTGGAAAATTAATAAGCATTCCATATTCTTCACAGAACATGGGCAGCCACTCTCTTTTTTTATTGGCTGCATCTGTGGTTGCTTTGGCAAAGGTTAAACGATCCCTGACTTAAGCAGAGATGCTCCATTAGTAACACTTACAGTTGCAGTTGTCCACACTGGCGTCTTTTGCCTTCAAATACAGAAGGGACAAGTTAAAGACTCTTCTGACGTCGCTGGGAAAGAAATGTGTGGAAGGACGACGTTTACCTTCTGTGGCAAGATGGTGTTGTGATTCTCAAGAATGAGCCTCTTAATGTGATGAGCCCACAGACGTTTCTCTTCCACAGACTTTGCCTGAAGACACGGACGGAAATCCCACATTAGAAAATAATTATCTTTCACACAACCGAGACCCATTCGACAAACCTGCTGTTAATACAATCACTCATTGCAGCACAAAATCTTATTCTCTTTTATAATGCGTTTACAAGGTTGGTGCTTAGTTATTTGATTTGGCTGATGAAATAATATTTAAGCACATAACTGTTATATTAAAGTTCTATTTATGTGGTCCCACAGCATAACAGATATTCTACCATACATCACAGTGGTCATAAAGTGCTTTTCAGCATACTGTCAGTTTCCAGAACCTCCATTGTTACAGCAGAGGGTTGCCAGAGTTTAGCAAACTCCACATTTACGATCCTTTTCGTTGAGCGTTGGACATTTCATTTTGCAGTCAGTTTTAAATGACGGAGATTAAAAAGAAAATTTCTCAAGGTGTTTTTCTTTCTACTTCAGAAATATAAAAGTGAAACAACACAGTACTAGAACTCACTTCATATCCTGCAGTGTATTAAAGGGCAATTTTACTGTCAAGCATGTGGACAAATTTTGATCTTTTATTGCTACGATGATCTCAAGTATGACAAATGCTAGATTAAATGCATATCTTCTGTCATAATTTGTGATCAGTGAAGCCTTCATTATACAAAATCCCCCACAGCTGAAAAAACCCCCCCAGGAATTTAAATAATTTGTTCAGCATCTAAACTAAATTTAGTTCAACAGCCTTTGGTTCAATCAATAATACGTTTATTTACAGATATTCTGATACTCATCATTGAGAAAAATTAAAAAACAAAGCCTGAAAACTCAAGGTTTTCGTTTACACATTTCATATTCATCCAGTCATTAAAATGTTTATAATACAATTTCATACTTTTCAAGACAGCGTATGAACTCCACATACACAGATAGCATCCAATGGTTGTTATGGAGACTATGCTTGCTCAAATTTTATTGCAACTGTAACAAAAGATTAATTAACATTAAGGTCGTTTTTGGTAGAAGAACCATTGTACCATCTGAAATGTTGTCTTGGGTACACTTGTAAAGCATTCATCCAAATACAAATTTAATTTAATTGCAAACAGAAAACGTAAAAAGCGCTTTAGTTGGTTGCTTTAGTGACTCCAACACGTCATTCATCTCTTCAGATCTGTGCAGCTGGCGATCGTTTTTAACTTGATCTGAAAAAGCTCCAAAGAGTTTTTCTTGTTTTTTTGAGAAATCAAGGATGTTAAAGACTTCAAGTGTCCCTTAAATATCCAACACTATCAGCATTGCATGGGCTCTCAGTTTTCAAACTCTGTATTAGGTCTCATTATTCTGTTGCAAATTAAGTTGTCTGAGGAAGGCAAATTATACATTGGAACATGTTTATAGATGATGCTGCCACTGTGAAGTGGAAAAACAGCTTCCTTTTTTTTTTTTACCCCACCCTACTGGGGGCACAGCAGTAGTTATTTTTCATGAACTTCATGGTTATGCACTATTTTGTGTTGATTTATTTCAGAAAGTTCCATTTAAAAAAAACAAAGCAATAACTACATCTTGTAGAGTTATCCTGACAAAATGTGAAAAGTTTCAGGGGGTATGAATACTTTTTCAAGGCTACAATTCCAGATGAGCAGAATGTATTATTCTATAAATGTCACGAATCATTAGAAATGATAAATATTGCATACCGGCATTAAAAAACAACAACAACAATCTTCCACATTTCACAGTTTAAAAAGAAATGGACTAAATGTTTGCTGCAGTTACCTGAACTGTATGGGGTTGCTTAGGACGCTTGAAATGGATCACACTGAAGAGGAGGGGATCCTTGGCGCTGTCGAGCAGCATCAGGGTGGAACACTGTGACAAGAAATTATATTCGTTTGGTTTGTATCAATTCTATTCACGCGTTTTCTCACTTATCGCGTTAAAAATTCATCAGAAGTCGTACCGAGATGTGGATCTTGTAGACGTAATGTTCCCCTCTTTTCTTGGTAATGAGGAGCATCTTTTCGAACAAGAACAGCGTCCGGGTGTTCTTCGCCCTCAGAACAGGAAAGGTGCCCTCTAGCACCAGCTCCCCGCAGGTGGTCAGGTCGGCACCCTTCCAGTTGATCAGCAGGGATTGTATCTCCTAATGTGAGAAAACAAAACTTTACATGAAGAAAATCTTAGCCAAGCAAGAAAGACATTATATGCAATTTTCATGTCTGCCACATGTAAAGCTAAAGCACCACTTGTGCAAAAAAAAAAAAAAAAAAAAAA